ATGCGAATTAGTGACTCACTAGACATTATTTCTGCCACAGAAAAACAGCAAACAGTTTAACTTTGATAGCAAATCATTCCCTTCTAGTCTTGGAAGAGGCCAGAAAGGATTTATCCTTTTAAAAGAAACCTGAGCAATTCACTGTCTCTTCTAGATTTTTTATTTTGAAATAATTCTAGATTCATCAGAAGTTGCAAAGAAATGTGCACACAGTCTTCCCTCCTGCTGGCATCTTATACAACTGTAGTATAATATCAACACAAAGAAAGTGGTGTTGGTACAGTCCATAGAGCTTGCTAGGATGTAATCATTTGTACATGAACTCATTTATGTATGCAGTGTGTGAGTGTGTGTAAATACTTTGCAACTGAATCATATTGTAGGCTTGAGTAACAACCCCCACACTCAAGGTACCCAACTGTACTGTCACCATAAGACTCCTTGTGCTGCCCCTTTACAATCGCCCTGCAGTCCCTCACCCCTGCAACCACTAAGCTGTTGTGCATCTCTATAATTATGTTATTTCACAAATGTAATATACATGGAACTATGCAGCATGTATCTTTTTGAGATTGGCTTTTTCTCCCCCACTTAGCACAATTTCCTTGAGGTTCATCCAAGCTCTTACATGTATCACTCATTCATTCCTGTTTCTTTTTGCTGAGTGGTATTCCATGGTATAGACAAATCACCATCTGTTTGACCATTCACTCTGTGAAGGACACTTGGGTTGTTTCTAGTTCTGGATTTTTATAAATAAAACTGCTATAAACGTTTGTGTGGAAATTTCTGTGTGAAAATAAGTTTCCTTTTTTTTTTCTGGAATATATGCCTAAGAATGCAATTGCATGGAAAGTCCGTTTTTAGTTTTGAAAGGAACTGTTTTCCAGAGTGTCTACTATTTCACATTCCCATAAGTGGTATTATCACTATTTTTCATTTTAGCCATTCCTCTAAGTATTAAGTGGCATACCCTAGTTTTAATCTGTACTTCTCTAAGGGTTAATGATGCTGCACATCTCCCACCAAGAAGAAAACTCAGTATACAGCTTACGTGACAATGTTTTCCAGAAAAAGCCAACAATAATATCCCCCAGCCCATGAGCTCTTCTGACCATAAAACTCAATCCTCCTCCCACTGTAGAGGGCTTTACATTCCCTCCTCCTGAGCTGGAAGGCCTGTAGCTGCAGGAGAAGTGGCCTTCGGGGACTTTGAGGCTGGGTCATAAAAATTCCACGTGCTTCCATCTTGTTTTTTTGGAGTCCAGCCTCCATGCTGTGAGGAAGGCCACCCAGAGAGGTCACATGGTAGGTGTTCCAGTTGATGGCTCAGCTGAATGCCCAGCCACCAGCCAGCCCTGACTACCTGACATGTAAGTGAGGAAGACTTCTAGATGCAGTGTCTCACCACGAGTCAGGGCAGTCCTGGCTAGTAGAGCCCAGCCAACCGCCAGAGCCATGTAAAAACACTGAAGTGACTTTCAAGACCCTAAGCATTGGAGTGATTTGTTACAACAACAATAAGTAAATGAGACTGTTTTCTCCACTGCAAAACTTCATGCTCTAATAAATTAGTATGAAACAAATTAGTACAAAATTTTCTTGGAGTAGCCACATTCTATCCTGATTCTTACTCTTTTTTCAAATTTTTTTAGTAATTTATTTATTTATTTTGAGAGAAAGAGTGCACATGAGCAAGCCGGGAAGGGACAGAGAGAAAGGAAGAGACAGCGCAAGTGGGACAGAGGCAGAGAGAGGGAAAGAGAGAATCCCAATAGGCTCTGTGCTGTCAGCACAGAGCCCTAAATGGGGCCCAATCCCCTGAACTCATGAGATCATGACCTGAGCCAAAATCAAGTCAGATGCTCAACCAAGTGAGCCACCCAGGTACCCCTTGGCTCTCATTCTTAAAAAAAAAAAAAAATTTCCTTTCTCTACGGAAACTGAAGAAGCCCACTAGAGTCAATATGGTGTGTTGTCCTGAGGTGTGAATGAGCACACTCTGGGCAACATGGCCAAGAGCCACAGGATCCACTCCACATGCTGCTTGTTGCCTCTTCTGGAACACTCTCACCCTGACAGCCATTGCACCTACTCCCTCAGTCTCTGCTGTAGCATCATCACTTCAGGGGGACTTCTATGACCCCACACCTCTATCACTTTCCACCATATCCTTACTCTGCTTAAATTAATTATCGAAAACTTAGTGCTTATCACCGCCTGCCTGGAGATGATTTTATTTGTGGATTTATCCTACCCCCATGTCCCAAATAAGCTTAATGAAAGTAGCAGTTTTGCTTTGTTCACCTGTAGGACCTAGAACTCCCCTGGCACAGAGCAGATATTCAGTGAGTATTTGTGGAAGGAGGGAGCGAGCAAACCAGTAAGACTAAAAGCACTTACCATGTGCCAGCCCCCATGAACTCTTTGCTGGGTACATGGAAATGCAGGACATGTTTGAAGCATAGGTCCACCCTCAAGAATGACACTGAATGATTTAATAACCTTTTGTACATTGTGGGGAGGGGAGATCTTTAAGCTGATTTAAATGAATTATCTTAGTCTCATGTCTGATTTTGACATCTGACATGTACTTGTAGCAAGGAAGTCTTTGTCAGCAGTCTCCAGAAATAAGGGGCAAAAGCCTGGCTTGAAACAGCCCAGCTTTTTCTTTTTCTTTTTTTCTGTAAGCACCAGTCCTGAGGGCCAAGCTGTGGACCAGTTCAGTGCTTTGTAAATTGTGTTCTGAGGCCATGGAACCTCGCATAAGTACTTTCCTGAGTCCGGCCAGGGGAAGGTCCCAACCCATTTCCCATAGCACCCTGTCTGGGAGAATGTGCAACATGGCCACATACCTTTCCTCTCCTTGGACCCACATCCCTTTGCAATGTGACTCTGCATCTTCTCTCATCAACAGGTAGAGTCTACTTCCCTATCCCATGCATCTAGGCTTGACTGTGTGACTTATTTTGCCCATAGGGACATTAGCAAACAAGATATAAGCAGAGGGTTCAAAAGTGTGCATTGAAGCTTGCCTCCCTTGCTCCTGCTGGGAACCTTGTCATAGACACCATGGAAATAAGCCTGTGATAGTCTTCTGGGAGATGCAGGACACATGGCAAGTGCCGGTCGAAGGAGTGAGGCCATCAGCAGCAGGCTGGCCACAGAAGCAAGAGTGAGCTCAGCTGATGCCACATGGAGCACAGACAAGCTGTTCCAGCAGAGGGCAGCTCAAATGCTGACCCAGAACTGTGAGTGAATACATGGTTGTCTTTTTAAGCCACTAAGTGTAGAGTGGTTTGTTATGTAGCAAAAGCTGACTAAGGCATACTCCCATATCCTCTTAAAAAAAAAAAAAATTCATGGGGCACCTGGGTGGTGCAGTAGGTTAAGCGTCAGACTCTTGATCTCAGTTCAGATCATGATCTCACGTTTCATGAGTTCAAGACTGGTATGGGGCTCTGCGCTGATGGTGCAGAGCCTGCTTGGAATTCTGTCTCTCCTTATTTCTCACCCTCCCCTGCTTAGGTGCTCTCTCTCTCTCTCCCTCACAATAAATCAATAAAAACTTAAAAAAATTCAGCCAGAGTAATGCAAAAAGCAGTACTTAAAACTGCCCATTAAAAAATAATTCCAAGTTTGCAAGTATGCTATACAGGGAAATGTGGGGAAAAATGGGAAATGGTATTAAGGGTGATCTTTATTCTGTCCTTTATACTTTTCTGAATTTCCTGAATTTTCCACAATAGAATTGACAATCTCTTCAAAACAAAAGAGATTTCAAAACAATCTTTTCCCTTGAGAAAAGCCAAAGTGCTTCGGCAGTTTCTTCTGGCTGCCCTCTGATCATTCTTGGGCAATTCTAATGCGACATGAACATTTTCCACATGGCTGAGGTTTTAAAAGACAGGTATATTAAAGGGACAGCTGGCTCCCTACATGCCATGGCCATTACCTCTGGGGGGAGTTTCAGGGAGGTTAAAAGGGTCTAGATGATGGAAATCTATGCTTCAAAACTCTTCCATCTAACTAAGACTGTCTTGAAACGTCAACTCATTCATCCCCTGGCTATTGTATTCTATATCCTTTTGTAACCCAGCATGGCTGATGAGTTTCAGCAGAATCCCTTGAGCAGGCTGTAGTAATGGGAAATGCAGAAATCTGGGCCTGGGGATAAGCTAGTGTGATGGATATCTTTTGTTTGCCTTTCCAGATCTATTCTCCTCCCTTCTCTGAGCCCTGGGAGGCCAACCTGTGTTGGCCTTACTGATGGCTTCTGATTGGGTTCAGCCAATGAGGAGAACCTGTAAGGGACCAGAAGGAAGGAATGAAGTAAGGTTGGGCATTTATCCTCCCAGCTCCGATCCTGCAGATTTACCGTGGTCTGTCTTCCACCAAAGATCAGAGTTCCTGCCAGGCATCCAACTTCAGACAACAATGTTTATTTTCAGATTCCAGTAGCCAGTTCCCTGTCTCACTTCCTCAGGCAGGGGGTAGTAAGAGTGGCACTCCATTCTAGAGTACCACACTAATCTTCATGTTCTCTTCCTTATGACTTGTCTACATCTGCCGACACGGTTATTAAACTCTCCTCAAGTTGTCTGCTGGAATTTGTCTCATATTTCCCTCAGGAACTCTGAGAGATATGACAGACATGCACAACCCCACAACGAGGGTGGACAAATCCCCAGAAAAGTCCTCTCTTCTCCCCCAACAAAAATAAGAACAAAAAAGAAAAAGAAATTTTCATAGTTTCTATTACTTCCTACACTCATTGTTAAAGGGGAAAGTCATCCATCAAATTCAGATCACAGAGAATTCTGACTAACAGGATGACACAGAGAATAGTAATTTCCTTTTGGTGAGCCTTCTGGGAAGGGCAGTGGGTGACTTGTGAGTAAGGAAACTTAGAATTATGAGAAAGTATTCTTCGGAGGAGAATGCCCATGACAGACAAAGTGACAAGGTAAACCATGGAGAGGCCAAACATGAAATCTTACCCGGCCATCACTTGTCAGGAGGATGGAGTCACTTTTTATGTCCCTGTGAATCACTCCTTGATTGTGAAGGTAGGAAAGAGCTCTCAGAACTGACAGACAGACGGTGGCTATCTGTTCTTCATTCATTCTAGAAAGGAAATAACATTTAAGGAGTGAAGACAGTTTTAAGAACATCTTTGAAATGATCAAGAGAGGCAGTTCCCTTGGTTCTATTGTACCAGTCCATGCTCCCCAGCCCATGTCTGGAAAATCTACAGGCAAGTACAAAGAAATCTTAGAATGTGACTCCCAGAACCTAAGGCTTGGCACTGATGATGACAGGGACCAAATATAAGCCAAAGGAAAGAGACCCCCCCTACTGCTGGCTTTTGGGTCATTAATGCAAATGTACTTCCTTAGACTCTCGTGGGTAATTCCTTAGGTATTGTACAAACCTCCAGAGTCCTACAGAGAGAGTGTACTGAATAGAGCCAACGTTTCAAGTATGCCTGTTAGGTGACCTTGACCAAGCCCTTTTAACTTCCTTGGGTCTCTTTTTTTCCTCATCTTGGAAATGGGGACATCTATGGTTCTCTTCAAGGCTGTACTCAGACAACACAGTCTTTGGATCTCAAAGATGCCCTAGCCCTAGCCCTGTCTCTAGGGGCTAGAGATTCCTGTTGCTCTAGGTCCTTCCATCAAGAAGAAAACTGGCCTTAGTTAGTTACTAATAACTGTGAATGGATGATACTTGAACAAATGGATCATGGGTATGGGAAAGGCAAGCACAGCACTGGATATGTGCTCCCACATGTCATCGCTGCACCCTTCCGAAGAAAGGTTCTGGTTTCAGAGGAGATTGAGGTCAAGTAACCTGCCTTAGGTGTCACATAGCTAAGAAACTGACCAGACCATGATTCTAACCCCACTTGTTTTTGAGTTCAGACCCATGCATTTCCACTGACCCCATGGCATCACACTGACATTGCAACTCATATGAATGGCTTTTCAGCCACTGAGGAACCTAAGTGGGAAGAATTATTTGAATAGCAGGGGCTTCTTGGTACCCTCAAAATGACGCAGGGAGGTATCTGCTTAACTCATCTGGGTATAAAACTTCCTTTCTGTCACACACAGCGTGAGGCCTAGACCAGATAGCAAATGTGGAAAGAGCTCCTAAAACAAACCGTCATACAAAAAGAGAACATTGTCAGGAGAGATAGAGGGTGTGACTGACCAGAGCCCAAATTTAAGGACTGACTTGAAAAACAATCCCGAGTAACTCTTAGCTCAGCAGGACAAGGAAATGGATGACCCTGAATTTGTGTCAGTCTTGTTGATGCCAGCAAACCCTGAGTAAAATTAGGATTCAAAGTAAAATCCAAAGAGATGACCAATTGGGAGAATGTTGAGCATATAAAGTGGATGGGTATCCCTTCTCTTCAAAGAGACTTCTTCCAGTAATGCATCGGTCTGTTACAAAGGCAGGCAAGAAGAAATGGTCTTGTCTGGGAGAGTGGAAACCTACAACTTCTGTGTTCTCAGTTTTGTATGAGTGGGCTGGTTGTTGCGCTTTATTGTTTTCAGATGACAACTTTCCCATCTGCCCACAGCAGAGCCCTCAGAGGTCTAGAGCATCATCACCAGGGATAAGCTCAAATATACCTTAAAAATAATTCAAAAGCAACAATCACCTTCTCTAGTAAAATTCATTCTTCTTGGATTCCATGGGATTCGAGTTATTTGAAGCAGGCATAAAGATTACTTACAGGTCAACTACAACAAAAATTAATCAAATCTGAGCCCCCATCACTGACTGAAAAATCACCTTTAACTGGCATATGTAACAAATGCTCCTGATTCTGAATTCAGTGGCTTTGCAATTTTTGTACAGGATCCACTGTAGAAAGATTGTGCTTTCCTACTCTTGCAGGAAGGAAGCCTGAATTGGGATAAAGATGCCTCAGTTCTGTAGTCAATTCCAAACTCAAATCTTGGCTCTGTTTTGAAGAGGTGTGTGGTTTGAAAGGTTACATGAGTTAATGTATGAAGTGCTTGGCACTTCCTTTTGCCTTCTAGAAAAATCAGTAGGATGTAATTTAACAAGATGCTAGGTAGGGACAAAACTTTGGCATGCATAGGAAGTTCCTGAGATTCTACATTTCTAACAAGCCTCTAGGTGATATTATGCTGTGATTCTCCCCAGACCACACTTTGAGTAACAAGGGGTTAGATATTTAACTAATCAGTCAATCATTCAATGAAGCATTTATTGAATATCTCGTATAGGAAACTCTTTGAATGATTTAAGGATTAAAGTCTAAATTCATGATTAAAAGGATTTCAAGTTCTAAATATTCAGTGTTCCTTGACATACAACTTCTCCCTGCTCTCTGGAGCTACTCCACTTTCAATGGAATATTATTGACAAAACTGGATGGAGAGAATAGGAGAACATAATGGATTCCAGAGAGGCTAGCTCTTATGTGGATCCCACTGACACACAATAAAAACTGAAAAACAAAACAAAACAAAAAAACCCAAAAAAACAAAAACAAAAAAACAAAAAAAAAACCCACCTTGACAAAGAGAGGGCTCTAGAGAGACATGCATAGCTATCTGAAGCTCTCCAGGACAAGAAAAAAGTTCTCTCCTTTGGACATATTCTTATTAATTTAGACATAAGTCACATTTGCCTTATGCTTAGGCTTCTTCAGTATATTTTTTTTCTACAAGTTAAGATGATCTTATGTATTTTTTGGGTGGTTGTGTCCAAAGGCTATACCAACAGAGATCTGCCATCTGAAATGTTGGTGATAAACGTTCCGTGTCTTCCCTCATGTTCTTTTGTTTTTACATAGTCTACTACAGACCTAGAGCTGTAGGGGGTCACAATGGACACATCATTTGATTTTAGTGGAGAAACAGCAGCATATTCTACCCCTCACAGGGCCTCCCAATACCTTCTTGCTATTTTGCTTCCCGCCTATTGTTCATTTGGATTCACTTATGATTTAGGCACCGTCAGCTAACATTCAATTCCTCTCCTTCTTTAAAATCATCCCCTAATACTTTGGAGTTTTATTTACTACCAAGAACAAATTTAAGTTTCCCAAATGTAATGTGTTTTTTCAAAAAATAGGTCTGTTCCTTAGTCCCTTGCTTCCCCAAGGCAGTCCATGAATGAGGAGAATTGGTGTCATCTGGGAGCTTGTTAGAAGACAGTATCATGCCCCTTCCTATTGAATCGAGATCTGCATTTTACTAAGACCCACAGGCACTTTGCATGCACATTAAAATTTGAGGAACACTGTCTTAGCACACACTCTGCCTCAAAGCCCTTTTCCCCCCATTTGCCTTCCTAGGAAACTCCTGTGCATCTCTCAAAACTCATCTTGGTTATCACCTTATATTGGGAATCTTTCTTTACTCTCCCTGTTAGAGATATTCAGGTATTCTTCTTTGCTACTTGTATACATCTTTCTAATTCTGCACAGGTATTATAATGTATTTATTTCTAATCTGTGACTTCCTTGATGGAATATCTTTGAGACTTAATCCTTTGTATTTTTGTATCCCCAGCACTCAGGAAACAGCTTGGCACATCAAAGGTGATCAATAAACACTTAATGAAATGACCACAACTGATACATCAGGGAAACAAGGAGCAGAGGTAACAATGACAATTAACCATTGTTACTTGCAAGACTATTTAAAAATAGAATTGAAGAATTTCTATTATGTAGGTTTCTTATTATGACATAAAACTCTGACTAATTTCCCACTTGCCTCCTCCTTACCCAGGTACCCTTGGTGGCATGAACACATAGCAATAGCATGGCAACTCATAATAAAATTAAGTTTTTTAAAAAAAATATGTAGGAATGGGAAATTCTATTATTTGGCACCAAAGCCCATTCTCAGCAGCTTTCTGATTTTAAATCATTGGGTATTAATGAATTTCTGGAGCGCAAGGAGAATAGAATGTTAATTGAATGAATGAACTACATACATGATATTACAATAGGCACTTAGGGAACATAAATAAAAAGGGTCACCCTATTCCCTGACTTCCAAGGGCTCACAATTTATAGAGTTCATAGAGATAGCCATTGAAGACTTACCCTGGAGTAGATAATAAGCACTTGGAATTTTTTGTCTGGATAATGAAGAGACATACCTGGTATGAGTGACAATGTCTGTCAAGGCACCGCCTTCTAGAAATTCCATGACCACCCAGAGCTCGTCGCCAACAAGGTAGCTGTTATACATGTCAACCACGTTGTCATGGTGGTAATCCCGCATTATCACAACCTGGGCAAATGGAAAGATGCTTTTTGACTTGTGACGGTGAAATTTGGCTTTCTGTTCTCTTGTGGCCACATCTGTGCTGTGAGTACAATTGATTAAGAAATATTGATTTGGGGGGAGATTTATTCAGGAGTCTACTATAGACAAAAAGACAGCATTGAAGGCAGCTAGTAGCAATAGAAAGGAATCAAGTTAGTAAATTCAGAGAAAATGGCAGAGCACCCAGGCACTGGGTTTGGGGATAATAAGAGCGAAACAGGCAGAACCCTGGCAAGGTTTGTACTCATAAGAGAGAGTTTTGTTGACTGTTCTGGGGGGAGGCTATTTACAGGGGGGACAGGATTCTAAGAGTCTCCTTCAGACTACTCTACTATTGGTTAACCTGGCAAAAGCATCACCAACTCTAAATTATAAATGAGTGAATGATAAGTAGGTCTCACAAGTGAATGAAGTAAATAGTAGGTGTGGGGCCACATGAGGCTAACTTAACATCTTGGGAGAAGATCTGGGTTGAGTGTGAGAGAGATTTGGGCTAAATACTAATGATAGGTCTTGAGGGTAAAAGCAAATATGACTCAGGCATATAAAAGGCTAACTTGAACTTGCTTACTGGGGAGAGCGTCCAAGAATTGCTGCCCTGTGGCTGCTTCTGGTGACATTTTCAGAATTAGTGCTGAATAATAAATTACAAAGTTATCTATGTTATATTGCTCTGTCTGCTCTAGCACTGTGATTTGGAAATATGTTCCAGAAATCAGCATTGTGGAAGTGACAAACTGAAGCCCACCCACCTGGTGTTCTCTATGAAATGTGGAACATAGGAAAACATGAACCCATGGGGGCTGAAGACATGTGGAGGCCACTGATGGCCTCACATAAGCCTCCATAGAAGAGGAATCCAAAGTCACATGTGATTGTATTTTTATAATGTCTGTTAGGGGATATGGGTGGTATATCATTTGCTAGAGACTGACATATTATCTAACATTGGAATCCTGACTTGCTATCTTTAAGACTTAAATTTTCCATCCACAAAAGCTCATCTCTCTTCTCTAAGCTCTCATAAAATCAATCGATGAATATTACTACAGAACATTTTGTGTCCTTAGACACGGGAACTCATGTTTTTCCACCTCTGTGCATTTTAGAGCTCTCAAGTGTAAAAGGGGGGTGAAGAAGTGGAAAATATTTGAAACAAACACATAGAAAAAGGTTAATTCCTTAACATATCAATAGTTCTTACTTATAAGACAAATGCTACCACCCTAATTGAAGACTGTGCAAAGGACATATGGTTTAATGAAGAAATAAAAATGGCCTATTAACACATAAAGATAAATTCAGCCTCGCTAGTAATAACAGTGTTAAAACAAGAAGATTTATTTATCTCTATCAGATTAACAGAGATCACATGACAGTATCCAGTGCTGGTAAGGATGACATAAGACTATATCAGTGAGGGCCCTCATTGTTACAAACTTTCTGTAAGTCAATACTTTATATTACTTTCTCTAAAGAGAAAAAATATAGAAATATGAAATATTAAAGTAGCTATTTCTTGGTTGTGAGATTATGGGACATTTTCTGTATTTTCCATAGGAAGAATTCATTATTACTATAGTTAGGAAAACATATCTTAAATTTCCCAAAGAGTGATAATCTGTCACTAAGCTGACCTCTGTTTATTGAGATTATTTTTTAAATCTTTAATTAACAAAAAATTTAATGTCTATTTTTGAGAGACAGAGAGAGAGAGAGATGGATTGAGAGATGGAGACAGAGCTGTCCAGCACAGAGCCTGATATGGGGCTCGAACTCATGAACCATGAGATCATGGCCTGAGCCAAAGTCAGACACAACCTACTGAGCCACGCAGATGTCCCTGTTTATTGAGATTTTTAAAAAATGGCTATAAAGGGTATATACATGGTATCACCACCATGTGTAAAATGTATATATACATCTACATAGACAGTGTAGCATGAGGCTTTGGAATCTGCTAGACTTCAAATCCCAGATCTATCATTGACCTGCTCTATGACCCTGGGCTAGTCACTTAACCTGAGTCCAGGTTTCCTTGTTGCTATAGCAATAATGTCGGTCTCACAGGGTTGTTGTGCAAATCAGGCCATATCAGTGCTTAGCATAGTGGCTGATTCACATGAAGTACTTTGTAAATGTAGCAGCCATACATGCATAGAAAAAGACCAGAAGGATTATGGGGGCACTATTTTTGTATTTATATTTTCATTGCTTTCTAGTATCCTACACTGTATGTGTACTATTTTTGCATGGGAAATAAATGTTACATAGGAGAGAAATAATGATCTGAACACACCACATACCTCATTAAAGAGCAGTTCTCGTCTCTGTTGCTTGCGGAGGTCCATTTTCTTCACTGCAACTTGTTTCCCTGTGTGTTTCTCAGTAGCGATGCACACAATGCCAGTTGACCCTTCTCCGATTTTGATAAAGTTGTCCAAGTATTCTCTGGGGTCTCCGGGGCTGACCACCAGCTGCAGAGCAGCCCGAAACTGTTCATGGGACACCCTGGAGGGCTGCTGGTCTGAAGAGGAGCCCCAGCTGGGTGGGGGGTAGGTACTGGATGAGATACTCAGAGAGCTCAGATAAGAAGCTGTGGAGATGTACTGTGAACTGGTCTGCAGGGAGGGGTGGTGGTAGAGGGTGGCTTTGTGGTACCCAGATGGGTACTGGTGGCTGCTTGAGGAGTAGCCTGCTTTGCTTTGACTTTGAGGTAGTTTGGCGGGCCCCCTGGGGTAGGTGTCAGACCCTGACAGCGGAGGGCTGAGGACCATCTGTGCTCGATCGTAATCCACCTGGGAAGACAGACACAGATGGAAAATATTCACATGCTAGATCTGAATGCCGCAGTCAGTGAGCCAACCCACAGTTGGCCTGAATGAAGAGTGCCATTATACAACATGGTCGTGGGTGACACTTACCTTGTGAGGTCCCAGGTTGTCCCTGCTTCCACCATTTACCTACCCTCTACCCCCATCCAGCCTCTTTCTTCCCCTTTCCATACTAAAATCCCCAGAAGCAGACTATGAGACCTGGATTTGAATATAAATGGTGAGAGGTGATCCCAGGAGTTATGAAGTGAGACAAGGAAGGGGAAAACCAATAAAGGGTGAGTCATAGACTATGATGGTTAATTTTATGAGTGAACTTGGCTAGGCCATGGCATCTGGTTGTTTAGTCAAAAACTAGTCTAGATATTACTGTGAAGGTATTTTTTAGATGTCATTGACATTTAAATGAGTAGATTTTGAGCAAAGCAGACTGCCCTCCATAAAGTGGGTGGGCTGCATCCAATCAGTTGAAGTCTTTAAGTGAAAAGACTAAGGTCATCCACAGAGGACTCATTTTCTCTGTGTGTGTGCGCGCACACACACACACCCCTACTGGTTCTGTTTCTCTAGTGAACCCTAACAGGCACAGCAAGTTACCAATGAAACAGGGAACCTAATTCCACTAGGTAACTCTGCATCCTCAGAGACTATATTAAGCATGTACCTGGGAGTTATCCCATCTGAGGGACAGAGAGCTGGAATATTTATGCACCAGCTCCCTTTAAAACACTGTTTAACATCTGCTTCCATGGATATTAGTTTCCTGGCACTTCTGGCCTGCCATGTTCTGGGCTGGGTAGGCTCCAGTGGGTAGAGAAAGCTCTTAGAACCAGAATTTCTCAATTTGGTACTATTGATTTGGGGGTCCAGATAACTGTGTGGGCGACTGCCCTGGATATTGCAGGATGTTTAGCAGCATCCCTGGCCTTTACCCACTAGATGCCAGGAGCAGCCTCTTCTGCCAGTCATTACCAGCAAAAATTTCTTGAGATGTTTTCAAATATCCCCAGAATATGGGTAAAATTGTTCTTGGCTGAGAACTACTGCTTTAGACAAAGGAAAGCAGTGTTGGCAGACAGAAGCAATAGGTGATGAAGGGATGTGGCTGGGCAACAACTGTACCCACTGCTCCTAGGAGAGGGCTTTCTCCCCCCTCATCTGAACCACACGGAGAGTTTTAGTTAAAATGTGCCTTATCCAATGTGTATTTAGGCCTTGTTTTCTTTTTTGGGAATATAAGATCCCATTTGTCATTAACAGGTGTTAGTCTTCAATAAGATAGGGATGGAAGGCCTTTGTCCATGCTTTTGAACCCATCTACTGGAGGGGGGGAATGTACTATCCACACATATAACCTAGCAGATATATGTAAAAGGAAAAATATGGTTCCCTGTGCTAAGCAGCTTTTCAGTATGGACCATAAGGTAAGAACAATGCTCTCATCAAATATGTAGAAATATAATTGAGAGCAGCCAAAATTTGCAGGGCTGTATGTGTGAAAGGAAATTTGGTCATCCTTCAAAAGGATTCTGGCAGAGAACACTTTACTCTGGTAATTAAGGATGGATTGAGGGAACTCAACAGAGGAATATAGGGAGGGAAGACAGAACAAGGGTAGGGGAAGTCATTGAGGGGTTTATATGATACTTGATGTACAGCCAGCAATTGCTCCCTGAGAGGTATCAGGAAGGATCTTTGACCAACCCTGGAATGGCTGAGGTCATGAATATACCACATCGTGCCACATTCACCTCCTTGCGCAGGATAGAACGCACTAATCGATCAATGCACTCATATATAATATTCTGATGACAACACAGTGCTGGGTACACAGAAAGCTCTCCAAAAAGATTTTTGATTATACTAACACAGCACCCTAGGAAATCTCTACCACTCTACTGGGATGTACAGGAAATGACACGTATATGCCCCCACCCCCGTCTATCTCAAGGATCTATATCTACTCTAATATATGGATACTGGCTACATGTAACTACTTAATTGAAATCAACAAAAAAATTAAAATAAAAAGTTCAGTTCCTCAGTTACATTATTCAGATACATTTTAAGTATCCAATAGCCACACATTGGACAGCATGGATATACAACATTTTCACCACTGCAGAAAGTTCTACTGGGTAGTACCTTTCCAAATAAATTCATTGCTCCCATGTAGTACATTCATGAAGCCCACTGATTAATCTTTGAGCAACTGTTAGGTGCTAGGCACCATTTTAGGTGCCATGGGAAGGTCCAGCAATAATAAAAATGGATGGTATTTCTGCTCTCTAGAGGAGACAGGTAATAAACAAGAAAACCAATAAATATACAGTATGCAGTCCAGTATTAATAAAGACATGAAGAAAATAAAACAAAGCAAGGGGCTTTAGATTAATGAGATGCCATCTTGGATGTAATGGCCAAGGAAGGCCTCTCTGAGGTGGTGCCATTTGAGCAGTAACCTGGCTGACATGAAGAAATAGGCCCAATGTCTATGTGGGGGGGGGGGGGGTAGGCGGGGGAGAGGGCACAGCACACACAGAATTCTAAGAAAATACAGGCTTGAGGAACAGCACAGAGGTTCTTCTAGAGTGCAGGGGAGTCATTTTGGAAAGATGGCCAGAAAAGCAGCTAGGAGGGGATCATGTACACCATGGCAAGGGCACTGGCTGTCACTCTGAGTAAGATGGGAACCATTGGAGGTTGCTGAGAAGAGAAACGTGAGCTTGATGTTGATCCTGATCTGCACGCTGGAGCAGAAAAGACCTTTGTGGCAAAAGAGGAAACAGGAATGCCTGTTAGCTTATTGTGGTCCATGTGAGTTGAGATTAGATTGGCTATTGTAGTTGGGGTAGTCCCCTCCTACACTGTAGCAGGCTCATCTGTCTGGCCAAAAGAATACAGTGGAAGTGATAGCAAGTGCCTTCCATGACCAAAAAGATATTGTGGCTCCTCTGCCTTCTTTCTTGGATACCTGTCCTGGTTTTCTCTTGCTGCCATGTCTTGAGAAATTCAATAGAGAGGTCCAAGTGCAAGGTCTCCTGCCAAGAGTCAGAAACTGAGGTCTTCCACCAACAGCCATATGAGCCATCCTAGAAGTGATCATCTGGTCCCAGTCAAGCTTTCAGATGACTAGACTTGGCTGACATCTTGACTGCAACCTCATGAGAATCTCAAGGCCAGAATCATCCAGCTTAGTAAGTAAGTCACAGAGAAGTGACCCAAAGAAACGGTGTGAGGTAATAAATAGTAATAAATGTTTATTATTGTTTTACATCATTAAGTTTTAGAATAATCTGTTACACGGCAAGAGCTAATTATTACATGGGGGGAACAAAGAATTCCAGCATGGCTGCGTTAAGTTTGGGAGAACCATCAAGCATCTACGCAGAGATGTTGCTTAGGTGACTTAGACATGCTTTGCGTCCAGGAAAGAGATGAAGCTAAGACATGCATCTGAGCATCACTGGCGTTTAGTTGGTATTGAAGCCATGATGTTGCATGTGTAAGAGAAAATCCAAGGACCCCAACATTCAGAGACCAGAAAAGGCAGGAAGATGTTGCATAAAGGAGCATAGAAGAAGTAGCCAGTAATGTAGGAGAGAAAGTAAGGGACTAGGTGGTCCTGAGTCAAGGTACGAAAACATTTCAAAAAGGAAGAAGTAATGAAGCATGTCGAATGCCATGGAGAACTGAAGTAGGATGGGGCATGTTGCTCATTGGATCTGGCAATATGGTGGTCACCTGGAAGACAGCAGGTGTTCCAAGCTCCTGCCTCATCACACATCATCACACACCTATTCCAGAAGTCTGGCAGCAAGAGTTGAACACAGTTGGCTCCTTAAAATTCCTACCATGGCACCATTCTCACTTCTTTTGCACTGTTCATTGGCTCCCAGATGACAGTGCTGGCCTGTGCACATCCAGCAGTGAAGTCTTTCCTAGTCATGAAAACACCAGAATCTACTCAGGTGAGTTCACCACTCAGGCAGCCTTGCACCACCCAGCAGGAACAAGGGTACTGTGAAGCCAGGGCCCCGTCCTGGCTGTTCAGCAAGAGAACACATGCTTTTGAGGGACATACTTAGGGTTCAATTCTGACTCTGATGGCTTTAGTCAAATTGCTAAGCCTCTCTGAGCCTCAGTTTTCTCATCTGTAAAATGGGGATCATAAATACCTCCCTCACAGGGTTTTGATGAGGCTAAACCTAGAGCAACCTAATGTCTAAGAAAACAGGCTCTGGGTTCAAAAACGTTTTCTGCCATTTACACATTGTGTGACATGGGGCAAGTTATTTAAACTTCTGCACTCCAGTTTTCTCATCGGTAAAATGGGAATTGTAACAATAGTAACTACCTCTTTAGGTCATTGTGAGCTCTGAAGGACTGAATGCACATCAAAGGATTTGAATAGTGACTGGCCAATATACTCTACATGCTGGTATCATTATAGAAAGTCCTTAGCATAGTGGGAATGCAAGAGAAAAGAAATAGAAAAATATTTTTTTAAAAGCCCAACTAGCACTTATTGAATATTTTATACTGGTAGCATACGTATTCCTATACTAATGTATAATGTATCCTCAAAACAATCAGCAAAGATGGTTTTAATTATAATCTACTGAATACTGTATTATAATTAAGATGCTGTATTTGAAATCACGCTGAATTTGTGCTATACTCAGGGAAAACTGGTTTGTTTCTGTGATGTGGGGAGGGGGAATAAAATGTCAGTGTGAATTAAACAACTGGGTTCTTCCCTTAAATTAAGTTTGAGATTAGCCAGGCCCAGGCTAATTACAAGGCCAGCGTGTGAGGGGAAGCGGGGTCTATGACTTTTATTTTTGAAAGTATGTCCTGGGAACTATCACATGGCCTCATCCCGCAGTGTCTTCCGTGGAGGCCTGGCTCCTGTACTTTAAGCGAAATTGAATTCATTCCCCACAAGCATGTGTAACTGATCT